TCGCCTGTGCACAGATAAACACGTCTGGATTTGCTTCTGAAAGATGTACATCTAATATTATGCAGAAATTGATAAACGCCGCACAGGCAGATAGCGCGGAATTCACTTTTCGCTCGAAGGAAAAAATGCTATTCCTCCAAGTTTTCCAGCCACCTAAGTCTCAAAACAGAAAATCATCGCGTGCTAGTACTGGACAGAGTTGCTTGAATTAAATCGATCCTTTCCCGCAAACCCAAGGCAGCATCAATGCAACTCTGAAGAAGAGAACCATCTACGCCTTCTACTCCTAGGACAACCTCGGCTGAGGACAACAGCTGCGTCCAAATATCCAGTTGCCCCACTGCAATCTTCCGCACACTTGAGTCTACGCCGCCAGCCATGCTAGCCAACAAACCATCAGCCGCCGTATTTGCCGCAGCCAAGCTATCCAAGACAGATACGGCTGGGTTAGTCGGGATTTCAACGGCAAATGTCTTCGTAGTCCCATTCCACGTCACCACAGATTGCATTTCGTCGGTGAGGTCTTCAAAACTTTCCAAGGCTTGCGTAAGAACTTCAGCAGCAGCATGCTGCCCTTCTCTGAGTAGGGATTCAAGCATATGCTCTGTCCCCGCTAATAGCGCCTGCGCCATCTTTAGAAGCTTCTCACATTCGTGTAGGTAATCCGCAGATGGACGGGGCTTCCATTGCCGTAACTGTTCAGTGAGCCTCGAGCTGGCCAGCTGGAGCACTAGCAGCCGGACGGAAACGGAGTCCCTAGATTCTTCCGTGACAGGAGCCTCCCCGGGAAGATGGACCTCCGTCGGTGTTCCACCATGCTTCACAATCCACTCCCGTGCTGCAGCAACTGCAGCTTCTGCCACACTACAAACTTCTTCAGTTTCTCCCGATTGTGAGGTTTGGCGCGCGACAAATACCTGCACAGTAAGCGACCTGGATACTGCACTTAGAAGCCACATGGCTGATTCCATACTCGCGCCCTTCACTGCATCCAACTCCTCTGCATAGCTCACACACTGCCCAACAACCTGCGTTAGCGCGTGTACTTTGGATGGTTGGTCCTTTGCCTTCTTTTCGTCACACTGGCTCTCCGGTTTAGTGCCACCCTTGGTTTTATCCATGGATTTACCCTTGGCGTCGCCCTGGGAATCACCCTTGGCCATCTTTTGCCCCAAAATACGCTCACGCTTGGCTGGCGGTGGAGGTCCTTCCAACGTAGGGCCCCTAATGTCATAAAGCAAACCCGTGGGCCAGCGATATGTTGGAGCGTCGTCTTCCCCCTCATCGGAATCACAGGGAGCATTCAAACCCAAATAGGGATCCCTATAGGGGGGCAACGGAGGTCGTGTCGCAGTCTCCGTATGCTTGGTCTTCCTTTTTCTCTTCCTTGGAGGACACGAAGCTCCCGCACCAGATCCTCCGGAGGTAGACTCTTCCAAGACTTCTGGGGCCGTTGCTCCTCCTGTTTCTTCACCTGGGGCAGGAGTTGACATTGGTTTCTCTCGTTTTCCTTCTGGGATATCACCAGGCCTTGGTCCTGCACCCACTGGCTTTTCGTGCGGCTGCGGTTCCTTTCCCCCTGCTGCCCCTCCCAATGAATTTACGGGCTGCCGCTGCGCCCCTCCCTCTGCCGACCCTCCCATCAGCTCTTCCTGCTGCTGAGGCGCCTCTCCCCCTTCCGCCCCTCCCAATGAATGTTCCTCGAGCTGCTCCCCTATCCCTGCTGCCCCTCCCACCGGCGCTCCCTGTTGGTACGGCGCCGCTCCCCCTCCTGCCCCTCCCAATGGATCATCCTGAAACTGCTTCCTCTCTCGCTCTCCTTCGCATCCCACAGACTCTTCCTGCTGGCACGATTCCCCTCCTCCCGCTACCCCTTCCGTTGGCTCTCCCTGCCCCTCATGCGCACCTTCCCCCGTCGCCATCAGCTCTCCTCGTTCATCCGTCTGAGGCTGCCTTTGCTCAGCCTCCTCCGGTAACTTCCATTCAGGGCACATGCCATCATCGTCACCACCTTCCTTGCTCGAAGCCAGCCGTACCCACGACTGTGTTTGCAAAGCTCGCTGTGTGCTGGTGAGGCGAAAACAGGTGATGATCAAAAATGTTATTGCGATTCCAACTGATGCCACGAGTATTAAGTGCAGAGTAAGTTGAGATCCCGTTTCTTTCCTCCCCGCAGTCGTGCCATCCTTCCAACCTGCTTGCGCTGCACGGTCAGCGAAATCAACGTCCTGCTTCTCCAAGGCAATTAATTCAGCCTGATAATTGACCATGGCTGCTTCTCCGTGCTTTTTATTCCGTGCGGAATGAACTGTGGGCACGAACCTGTAATGGGCTTGGAGGAAGAGCTAGTGCAGGAAGGAACATTGGTCAATTTCAGTCCCTTTACGGAGCTCTTTCCAGAACGAGTCACTAAGCTGATCGGCATCAAGATGAATCACCAAGCAAGCTAAATTGCGGAATTCACCGCTTTCAGCGATTAAAAAGCAAAACATTTCGGCATTCCCCCGAAAGCGAGGGTGTGCCTGCCAGAGTTGGTTTCTCTGGCGCTCATTGTGCGACTTGCCTGCGCGGCGAGCCCACGAACGTCGGTTAAAAGATTACTCTCAGGAAAGAGAAAATATATCCATTTTAGTTTCTCGTTGCGAAATACTGCAGTGCGATACATTTCATTTCTTAGCAAGCTGCACCAACGGAGAATGCCCGTCAGGGTGCATCTCTCCCATTCACGTTCCCTCCAGGTCTCCCAGGGACCCGATGGCCCGTGTTATCCGTTCCGCTCCCAGTGCCGTCGCATTTGGGAGCATCAAACCAATAGTTGAGCTCATGGAGCTCCACAGCTGTTTTTTTCTTCGGCTCTAGAGGCTACACTTGCCCCTGAGACTCGGGAGAGGCGACCCGCGAAGACTTGGCACCGCTTTATCACTTTTCGTGGCAATGAAAGCATGTGGCAATGAAAACAGTGGCTGACACAACCTTAGCAGTTACAACGTGTCTACATTGAAGGTGTCTGGAGCTTGGGCTTGCCTCACCTCAGGCACTAGAACCAGTGCATGACAATGTACTACTATACCTAGGCGGTGACTTAGCGCTCCCGCACGCCTACTTTCCTCAGATGTCGCTATAATGCACCTTAACTCGCCTCCCCCTAGAAAACAGAATACTGGGGTTCCTACCAAACGCGATAGGGCCGTGATTAGCAAACGATGATCACAGATAAAAAGGCTATTAGAGATGAACCTGTTGATATCGTAAACGGGGACGCTTCCAAAGTTCCTGCCATTCAGAGATACGCAACAATTCAACGACAGCACGAGATGGCTGTGTCCCCATTGCTTCGTTGCTATGCAGCACTTAGACCATGACTGCCATTTGCAACCACACGCTCTACATTCCCTCTCTACACATCCAGCGGGAGCATGCAAATGAATCTTCCGGGAGAGCATACAAAACAAATTACATACCATGATTTGGCGCTCCTCCACAAATCTTTTCTTCGTATCTGTGAATGTCCACACCCTGGGAAAATGGCCGGGTTTCATGAAGACAGGCAACCAAGCTCCAGCAACCCAACCGTTCCCGCCTGCCTCGGCCAGCCAACTACTGCGGTTCAGATAAGCTAACCACTTATTCCAACACTTACATGAAAGCGCGAAAAAGTCTGAATCAGTGAAATTCCTTCTTCCTCTCGCGCGGTTCTGAGCAATTAAAGTCCCTCCTGCCACAAACTTGATAATTCTCTCTGCAGCATTTCCAAACTTTTTGGCTGCACCCTACTCGTTACATATGGAGGCGCAGGCCAAACCCAACACCTGCAATCTGCGTAAGGGCAGGCTAGTAAGGAAGGCAAAGACGATATCCCATAAGGAAACCTGACAGGCTGGCAGCCGCATGCTGTACAACGGGTTGGCACCCAACGCCTCCATTACGTACATGGCGAGACAGAGGAAACTACGGACACACAAAAAAAACAAAAAGAGCAGGGAGGCTTTGCTCCGCTCAAAGAAAGGGCCACGCCTGGCAAGGATCTTAAGATGCCGCTTCACATGCTTTCGCCTGCGGCTGCGTCCGCTAAAGCGTTCGTTGCACAACTCATCCAGGAACTGCTGCGAATGCCGATGCTGCTGGTGCTGTTGATGCCACTGTTGATTCCGCTACGATCGGTGCTAGGGCAGTAGGGGCCGGACCACCACCGGGTACGCCTGCAGTTTATGAATTTTAGCGTCAATGCCACGAGGACTATATTTGGCTTAACATCCTCATTGCTTGTAAACGAGCTTGGCCTAAGGAATCCGCCTCCTTTCTCAACGCATCATCCAGAGGGTCGAATGGTGTTGAATCAGGCCTCGATGCTGAACCACTGCACGATGCCATTTCCCCGACTACGCGTAACCAAAATGAAGCCTCGTTCAGTTGGGTAGTGAGGTTGGCAAGACTGGTGCTCCCCACTGGGTCATCCATGTATTCTCTCATGGCATCCCCGAGTTTCGCACTGCATTCTCCGACGCACAACATGGTGTAAACTCTAAAATCCATATTTGAGGGTACGTCGTCTCTGTGCGGAGCTGGGAGGCCATGCGCAATTGCAAACGCACTTAGGACACTCGAACCGAGGTGGACTGCATCGTATCCACTTCTCAAACTACCTATCCATATAATGCGCTCTTCAGTACCAAATGATCTATTGTTTTCATTAAAAAGCGTACTAGCCTCCTGCTGCTGCTGCTTTAAAGCACCAAGCAACACGACGCAGAATGCCCAGTGCGGATTTGTCGGATTCCAGTCATCATTCAACGCCTCCATTCCTGCTTGTAGCATTCCACTCAGACGAGAAATTGCCCTAGACAGTTTTTCTCGGTTTTTCCGCACGCGGTCCCTACGCGTTTCCCTGGGCCGCTCCAGCAGTGGTACGCCATATGGTGCTGTGGGTACTCCAAGTGATGCTTGCTGTCCTGTAAAACCCACAAATCCGCTCTGCTTAGACTCGGGTGAGTTGGACTGAACTACAGGAATGAATTTAAGCCACGGCGTTTCGTCATCTTCGGCCGGTTCTGAAGGCCCTGCACATTGCACATCGCCTTCCCGTTCTTCGTCGCCCTCTCCTGATGTGCCGCCCCCCGATGCTAATCGCCTTTTGTCGACTGCTTTAGAAAGCCTCGAACCAATCAACTGGTAGCATCGGCTCAGAAAGAAAACCAGAACGAGACATGCAACGACTCCCAATTGGAACCGATGTGATGGGGAGGCCGCTGGTGGCTTGCTTTGTAGGCTAGGGACATTGAAATGCACCGCTGGTGTGCCAGATGATGTAGTTTCATTGACGGGTTTTATCAATTCTGGAAATTTCACGTGCTCCATATTGCATAGCCCCCTGGAACTGTGCAAAGGCTTCAGCACGTCGGACTCTG